GTTACTGTTGTAATGCTAGAAGTATAAGAAATAAAATGGATGACTTTAGGGCACTGGTAGGAATGGAGGTTTTTTATACAATGGGAATAACTGAAACATGGTTAAACAGAGATGATTTTGATGACAAGTTTCTTTGAAATACAGGGTTACAGGCTATTTAATAGGGATAGAGTATTAAAAGGGGGAGTGGTTTTATATGTAAAATATGAGTTACACCCTGTTGAAGTTGAGGATATCAAAGATAATAGCAGGGAGATTGAATCCATTTGGGTTTCTATTAATGGATATAAAGAGAAAAGGCTTTTAATAGGAATTTGTTACAGACCACCAGATGATACTAATTAGATTGGTGAGAAATTTTACAATGAGATTAAGGTTTCAGTTGTTAATGAAGTCATAATTATGGGGGATTTTAATTTCAGGCATGTAGATTGGGAAATGCTAGAGCAAAATAATGAGGGAGAAAGGTTTTTGGAAATTGTTCAAGGGGGTTTTCTTCACCAATTAACCAAGGAACCTACTAGAAACAATGTTATCTTAGATTTATTGTTAACTTGAAATATAGAAATGATCAAGAGGATGGAAATTGGGGAACATCTGGTAGCAAGTGATCATTGCTCTCTTAGGTTCAATGTTTCGCTGCACGTAGAGATCAAGAATAATGATATTTTGGCTACAAATTTCAAAAAAGCATACTTTGAAAAGATGTGACAAGAATTTTCGGTTGTGAATTGGGCAGCTGAGTTGCTTGGAGACACTAATCAGATGTAGAAAATTTGTAAAAATAGATTTTTAAATATTTAAGGTAAACATATTCCTATTAGAAAGAAAAAGGTAGCTGCAACTAAGAAACCAGGATGACTCATAAAGAGTTTAAGAGATAAAATTAAAGAAAAACACCATAAATTTAAGAAATTTAAATCAACAGGTATGATGGGAGACTTAGAAGATTATAGATTAGGAAATTAGAACATCAAAAAGGATGTATGAGAAAAGGTTGTCTGAAAACATAAAAATTAACAGTAAAGATGTCTTTAAATACATTAATGGCAAACAAAATATTAGGATTGGGTTAGAACCCTTGAGGGGTGACAAAGGAAGGCTAGTATCTAATGATTATGAGATGGCTGGATTATTAAATTTTTGTTTTTCTTTGGTGTTTACTGATGAATATTTAAGCAGTATTCCACATCTTAAACAGTTGATAAATTTAAACAAGATCAAACAAGATGAGTGCATTAATTTTGAGCTGCTTAAGAAAAAATTGAGAAGTTTAAAAAATGACAAGGCTCCTCAGTCAGATAATATTTCCCCAAGGGTTTTGAAGGAGGTTAGAGATTGTATATCTGAGCCACTTACTACTATTTTTTGTCAGTCTTTGAATAGTGGGCAGGTACCAGAGGATTGAAAGTTAGCTAATGTAACTCCTCTTTTCAAGGGAGGTGATAAAAATTGTCCCAGTACTTAAAGACCCATTAGTCTTACATCAGTTGTGGGAAAAGTTTTGGAAAGTCTGTTAAAAGATGCTTTGCAAGGTCATTTAACAAAGTTTAGAATTTTATTGGATAGTCAACATGGTTTCACTAAGGGAAAATATTGCCTTAAAAATCTTTTGACATTCTTTGAAAAGGTTACTACTTACGTAGATGACAGTAAGAGTGTAGATTTTCAGAAAGGATTTTACAAGTTGCCACATAAAAGGTTTGTAAAAAAGAATTATTTCTATAGGTGCAGGGGATAATTTAGCAAACTGGATAGACGAGTGACTGGATGGAAGAAAGCAGAGGGTTGTTACAAATGGAGTTCAGTCAAACTGGATTAATGTCACAGTGGGGTACCTCAGGGCTCAGTCTTAGGACCTTTGCTCTTTTTGATTTACATCAATAACACAGATGAAGGAATAGTTAATAAATTACTTAAATTTGCAGATGATATTAGGGTCTTTTTTGTTGCTAGCTGAGGAGAGTATGCTGCTGACTTACAAAATGATTTAGTGAGTTGGGCAAATGAATGGCAGGTGGATTTTAATTATAATGAATGCAAGATAATGCATGTTGGTTATCATAATTTGAATTATAAATATAATTTGGATGGGAATAACCTTAACACTGTTATGAAGGAAAGGGATCTTGGTGTAATAGTCAATCAATCTCTAAAGCCATCCAAGCAATGGGCTGTTGCTAGTGGTAGGGCAAATAGGAATTTAGGTTGTATCTACAGAAATATTGAATAGTTTGCCTTCAGATGTAGAGGCAGTAAATTTAAGTGAGTTTAAGAAAAAGCTATGAATGATTAGGGCTGGCTTTAAGATTTTTATTTTATTTTCTAATTATTTTAGAGGATAGAACAGCCGAGATGGACCAATAGGTCCCATATTATCCCAAAACGTTATGTTATGTTGTAATATTGTATTAAGAGTAAGAGAGAACTGTTAACAAATCCTGAGAGAGAGGATGTGACAAGAGGGGTCTGATTTTCTGTTTGATGGCTCTGTAACCAAACAAGATTGAAGGCTATAAAAATTATGATTTGTCTGAGCAATGATGATTTTATATTTAGTAATTTATGTTTAATTTTGTAGTTTCTGGGGAGGGGGGCAATAAAATAGATGAGAGGATGCTTACAGAAAATGTGTCACCTTTCTCACACAAGGGTAAATTCAGGATTTTTTTTAATATTGCCTTATAAAATTAAAACTTAAAACTTGTATACTATTGAAATATGGATTATTAGCTATGATTTTATGCTATTCTAATTGGTATAACATAAAGTAGTTTAATTAAATTTTGAATGAAAGTTATTAAAACCACATGACATGAACAGTAAATGAAGCCCGGCAGAGAAGGTTAAAATGAGGTAGCTGAAGCAATAAGCTCCTCACAATCTTAATGATATATCTTATGTAGTATTTAACATCTTTTTGTAAGAAAGAAGAAAATTTTGAAAAATTAATAGCAGGTAAGTGTGCTCGAGCTTCCAATGTCTCACATTCAAAAGTGTTATTCACCATCTGCAGCCAGTTGTGTGAAAATAGATATCCCTCATGAAGTAAACTTATTGAAATAAAATTAAAATGAAAACTGATTGTTACTGGGGTGGTAAGTAAACTTTTTCTTCTGAAGCCTAGATTATAAATTGCTAGAATTGAATAAAGGAATGTAGACTTTTGTCTACAAATAAAACAAATTTCATCCAACCAACCACTCTGAACATTGTACTGTTAAAATAGTAAATACAGTTAGATGAATGTACGTGTAGGTACATGCTAGTTAAAAAAGGTAATATTTACATGCGGTTCACCTCAAAACAGACAATGTGAAATAACTTGTTTACAGGGTTATTATAGAGTTTGATGGTTTATCCTAATGACCATGATAAACAGAGAGCTTTAATATTCCTTTCTGGAAAATAGTTGCTTAAAGTTGTTTGAACTACAGTTAAAAATTTCCTGTGTTAAGACCACTGTTCTACAAAGCATGACACAAAAATAAACTATTTATAGTGAATGGTATCTACTGTATAAAGTACAGTGTGTATCTGTGAAAAAAATACATAGTTGTATATCTATCATTTCATATCTATTCCTTATACGTTTCCACATTTCGTGATCAGCCCGAACCAAACTTGACACAGTGATACTGGATGACATGAAGAAGTTCATTAGGCATTGGACCCCCCCACCCCCATCTAATTTCATATTCATAGAATTCTTTAAAACAGTATGCCTTTTGGTACCTTTATATATTTTTATTGCACGTTTAATTTTTATTATGTTGAGAAAAAAATAGAAGCACAATTTCTTTTGCTCACCCATCTAATGGACAGGTACTGCAGCTAGAATAATATAAAAACGCATTTAAGAGGAAAGGTAAATTAATAAAGATATTGGAATATTTATAGTAGGTTTGTAATTTACAGTAACTGATGCTTGTTAAGATGTAATATATATATATATATGTATTTCTTTTAATACTTCAACATCATTCCTATTCTAGGATCACTCAGTGTGTGAAGAATTTATTACAGCTGATTCCAACTAACCCATCTGTTCTGGATGCTTTTGATTCCATTGCTACAAAGGTAAATGATCGTGTGTTATAAATTGTTTTCATGTAGAAAGTAATTTAATTAGAAATAACTTGAAACATATGGTAAACTTGTACTAATGTGGCTGTGTATTATGAAATTGGGGTAAATCTGTACATTTTGGGATAGATAGGTGTATCGGAGGAGGGAGCTTCTGCCAGAAACAAAGTGATATTTTTGTGACTTAAGCTCAATAAATACTGTTAGAAAAAAGGATTGCATTCATAAACTAAATTTTTCACAAACCTCCAAGTATTAGTGTGCCCATTTTCTTTACTTAAATATGTACCTAAGTTATAATCTTGAGAATAAAACAATATTTTCTTTATTATCAATGTTTCTTTTTAAAACATGGTTGTCACTAGCATTGTTAAATTCCTCTTTAAATATGTAAACAGATATCTGTTGTTGATGTATCACATTGGAAACCTGGTTTAGAGAGGTGAAAATTTAGGAAATATAAGTAGTCAGTAAAATCATGTCAAATCAACTTGTATCTCGTAAAGAATTTTCTGTTACTACTGATCTTGGCTGATGTTGCACGAAATTGCATATATCCATTTAAACCTCTACAGCTATGTTTTAACTCATTGTGCTATTTTGTAGCAAATTTTATGGAAAACCCTCAGGTTTTATCTATACATGGAATTATAATAAAGATATAACATTACCTTTTTTTTTGTAGCTTTTGTTTGATGTGTATAATTGTTTATTATTTCCAGAAAATGACAGATCTTCCTTCTCCTTCAGAAGTCAGTGGAAAGAATAGTCCACGTGCTAGTCCAAAGAAGGCTCATTCTTCTGCTCTTCGTGCTACTAAAGAAACATTAAAAAACCTGTTAGATGTATCTGCACCAGACCTTACTCCTTTTAGATTGTTATATAATCTGGAGGTGAAATATGAAATCTTTTTCATATAACATGCTTATGTTTGTTTTTATGTTATATGATATAATCATTGAAAGATATGAAACGTTGTGAAATAACTTTTTCTCATTATTTTCTTTAAATTAGTCATGTACACTCCAGTCTGTACCACTTACTCTTAAAAGACCAAATAATTTCTTCTAAAGCTAAATTTAAAAGAAATAAAATATTTTGACTTTCTTGTATAATGGATTGGTGTTTGCTTGACACTAATATAGTGTATGAAATTTTTTTTTTGTAATTTGATTTGTTATCTTTGGTGATAAAACTTATTTAAAGCTCATTTTATAATACGGGCCCGGCATGGCCAGGTGGTTAGGGCACTCGACTCGCAATCTGTGGGTCGCGGGTTCGAATCCCCGTCACACCAAACATGCTCGCCCTTTCAGCCGGTGGGGGTGTTATAATGTGACGGTCCATCCCATTATTCGTTGGTAAAAGAGTAGCCCAAGAGTTGGCGGTGGGTGCTGATGACTAGCTGCCTTCCCTCTAGTCTTACACTGCTAAATTAGGGACTGCTAGCGCAGATAGTCCTCGCGTAGGTTTGCGCGAAATTCAAAACAAACAAACAAACATTTTATAATGATGCAGATTATTTAATTAGTATTGAAAGAAGCTTTAAGCATCAGGTTTATTGAAAGCACCTTCAAGAGAATTAGGTTCGAAATCATAAATTTATGTAACTTGTAGTACGAAAAGTACCGATTATCTAAAAATATCTTATAAGTATCATATTTTGAATGTAACATTAAGTTCTAATGTGGTTTGTAACAAAATATAATACTTAAATAATTCTCAGTTCTAATTATAGTAATCAACAGGTTTAATATTATTATACTTATGCAAGTTACAAGTATTTTGTGTGTAATTGTTTTAAACCTTTATGACTAAATGTAATTTTTCTTTTCAGGTTTTAAGTGGTAGACTTATCCCAACTACATGTGATGCAACAACTTTACAAAGTGCCCAAGTATTCTGTGAGAATTTCCTTCGAGATGGTGGCCTTCGATTAGTACTAAATCTTTTACAGCCAGATAGTTTGCTTCAAGATGTGGATTACTATGTTAGACAAGGGTGTTACTTCATTTCTGTTCAGATAGCAAGGTACTATTTTCATCAATACATTTGTCATGGTTAAAACTTTTTTATAGTTTAAAAAAGTCTGTACTAATGTAATTGTAATGTGGAAGGGATCTGCAATTCTGGCCAGTTTCACGAAATTATTTTTCAGAAAAACTGTACCAGTAATTTTGAACACTGTCTCCAAACCAATGCATGTTTATACAATTTGGTATAATTTCTAAAATTGATTGCCTTCAAATTTGTGAAATGTGATATTGTATATATATGTGTGTGTGTGTATAGTGATTTTGTGATGATCAAACAGAATCTACAAATTTTTCTTTAACAATAAAATATGTAAAATGCATTTTGCTAAATTATATTGTATCTCATTGAAAAAAATTGAGAGAATTTTGTATAAGACAATGGTGTTAAAACTGGATTTCTTTTTGCTGATGTCATGAAAAGTTTATATCTGATTACTTCATATATTTTACTTATTCAAATTTTTTTACCCAAGATACCTTCTATGTGGACATTCCATCACAAGTTCAACAGAATCTAGTCTTCCAGTATCTGTTACCAAGCCGTCTACCCCCAAAAAAACAGTAGAATTCTCTTTAGCTACTGCTCTTCCTGCATCATCAGTTGTGATGGGATTCAAAACATCCGAGTCAATCAGAGCCATTCAGGTAAGTTTTTATAGAAAATAAACAAAAAACTTCATTGTAATGCTATTTCTAAAGTTGAAAAGTAGAAAACAAGAAACGTATTTATGACCCACTTGAAATATACAACACTTATTTGTGGGAAACCTTACTTTGCAGAAGTTAACTCTTGACCATGGAGGACCTATGAGGTACTCAGTGCACACCTGCAATGAAAACTTCGGTATAAATAATAAGTCTAACTATTTCAGAAATTTTTAACATTAACTCTCTCAACACAGGCTTGGTCAATTTGACTGACCATGTGACCTCTTTGTACTCAATTGAAGTCTTTATAGATTTAATACTTCTAACTTTCAATATAGTGTGTATATATCGTCACAAAATTTGCCAGACTTTCAGTTCATAATACAAAAAATCATATTTTTTAGTGAAGTATTTTTAATAAAATAAAATAAAGATTTGTCCATGAATATATTGAGTATTTGTTTTGAATAATCTGTGTGCAAAGTAATTTTCATGTTAAAATTAAAAATACTTTTCCTAATATGAAAAATCTCAAATTTCCTTTGCGTAATCCCTAAAACCTCCTAAATGCACTTCAAACGTTTTTTTTCACTAAATCTGTATAATTTATCAG